ACAGAGGGCATATTATAAGCACTTAATTAAGTTAGTTACCATTGTTATAGTCTAGGTCATCTGAATAATGGTGCTGCATTTGAGACAGTTTAATCACCAAGGAGTTTGCAGCTCATTTGGGGAAGTGTTTTACTCAGTGTCCTACATCCAGCTGCCAAAATGTATCTTGCATAATGTAAAAATATGGTTCGGTGTCTAGGAATGCAGGTAAAGTCAATAACTATCCCCTTCAGGCAAAGAACTCCATAGTCTGGGACACTCAGGAAAGGGATTCTTTCTCAGGCAGTAGGTATTCCAAAAGTTCCCTTGTTTGTAGCATTCCCATTCTTGTGGGTATCACCCTCTGTGTGTGCTTAACCATAGGGACCTTGCCAGCATGATTCCATCACAGAAGATGGTATTAACTTGCACAACCCGCATTTTACCGATAAACCAGCTGGGTCTGGAGTATTCTCTGACAATGGGGAAGCTTAATGCAAGTGTTCCTCCAGAATGTCAAGAGCCGGCCTCACAATTTCCTCTAACACATGCCCAAACCCATTTTTCCTATCTGCTCACTTACTGCTACAATATTGCTTACTGCATTCCCCGTTTGCTTCTGGCATCTGTCTTACTCCACATGTCCATCACTTACTGACTTGCTCATTTGACTTCCAGGAAGTCTTTTAAATATCACTTCCTTTCAATTCCTATTGCCTCTTCCTGACCTGACTCTAATGATTTCAGGCCTACACTTACATGTTCCTCCTGACTGATCTCATTGACTCAAATATTTTACCTTCCAATTAACTTAGGAGAGCATCATATGAGCCACCACACTCTAGGGGCTTTATATGATCGGTTAACTGCATAGACAATGACCCCACCATGATGACAAAAACCCATAAACCTAATAGATAAATACATTATATGGCAGATTCAAAGTCATGATCATGAAATAAATAAAAAAAGGTAAGGAGGCTACTGAGTGCTGAGAGTGTATGAGATTTTTAATACAGTTGTCAGGGTGGGTTTCAATGAGAAGATGATATTTGAGCATGAACTTGAAGGATGTAAGGGAGTCAGTAGTACAGAAACCCTAGAGAAGGGCATTCTAAGCAGAGAGAAGAGCCAGTCAAAAGCCATGCAGTGAGAACATGTCTGATATTGCTGGAGCCAAGTCAGAGAGGGGACTGCAGATGGGTTGTGTGGAATAGGACATTGAGGCCAGGCCATTTAGTGCTCCGTGGTCATTAAAAAAGACTCTGTTAATTGCTCTAAGTAGAAGGGGAGCCATGGTAGATTTGAACAATGAGGAGGCTAGCGCTATATTTGAGGAAAGGTACAGTAGTGATGTTGATCGGGATAGTAGCAGTAGAAGTGGCAGAAAGCAGTCATGATTAGAATGTGTGGGAAGATACAGTCAATAGAATTTGTTAATATATTGAATATGAAGTATAAGAGAAAGGAAAAAGACAATGATGAACTCAAGACTTTTGGCCTGAGCAACTGAAATGATGGAGTGGTCATCATCTGGTCTGAAAAGACTACGGGTGGGATGTCTTGTGGAGGTCAGTTTGGACATGCTAAGTGAGAAATGTCCCCTAGACGTCCAGGAGGAGATATTGAGTATGCAGTTGAATTCACTAGCCTGGAGTTTACAAGATATTTGACTGGAGGCTGGAGATGTAATTTTGGGAGTTAACATGATAGAAGCCTGGTTGAGACACACTGGGGAATGAGTATAAATAGAAAATGGAGGTGGACCAAGGTCTGAGCCCTCGATACTCCCAGATAAATAGAATGTGGAGAAGTGGGAGGCCCAACACAAGGATGCAGAGGAATATACAGTGAAGTGGGAGGAAATCTAAGAGAGTAGTATCCTGAGAACCAGAGGAAGAAGATGTCAAGAATGAGGGAAGGTTAACATGTCAGATTACTCTGACCAGTAAATTAAGAGGAGGACTGACCATTTGGGCTTAACAACATGCAGGTCACCTTTCCAAGAACAGTTTAGGAGGAGGAGTGAGGGTGAGACCCCATAGGGTGGGTTCAAGACAGAATGTAAGCAGAGGTATTGACACTAGTGAGGTTAGACAGTTTTTCAGAAGAGTTTTGCAGCAAAGGGAACAGTGGGAATGTAGCTTGTGGGAGAATCAAGATCAGAAGAACATTTTTTTGAGCATCTTTTGCTGCCCTTCCAAATCCACTTTCTACCCTTTTCTGCCTGCACTGTGCCCAGGAGGCTGGGCTGCCTGCTCCACAATGGATAGGGCCTCGGCTTCTGGTTAGGTTTTACCATTGGGAAAAACAAGCAGATACTGAGAGGAGAGGGAGATTGGGGTATATGCCTAGCCTCCCTTCCTGTCCTATTGCTTCAGGTTGGCTCGATTTTCTACCAAAGTGACACCTGCTGTCCTGCAACCCCCTCCCTACAGCTTTTCCTCAGATTCCAGTAACAACCCCCTCTTTCTGCCTTTTAGCAATGGGGTAGTAACAGTTCCCCAATATTATAGCTCTAGGTTACTGCAATATGTCTGCATTTGTTTTATCTTGTTGTTGTAACAAATTACCACAAACCTAGTGGTTTAAAACAACAAAAATTTATTACTTCAAAGTTCTTTGGCTTAGAAATCTGACATGTGTCTCACTGGGCCAAAATTAAGGTATCAGAAGGGCTGTGTTCTTTTCTGGAGGCTCTTCTTGGTCTTTCCGGTTTCTAGAGGTTGCCTGTGTTTCTTGGTTGGTGACCCCTTCCATTGTGTTCAAATCCAGCAATGTTTCATCTCTCTGTGCCTTTCTCTATAGTTGCATATGCTTCTGACTCTCTTCTGCCTCCCTCTTTCACTTTCAAGGACTTTTCTGATTTTATTGGGCCCACCTAGATAATTCAGGATAATCTAAAAGGGGTGTGTTTTTATTTTGCTTGGCCACATAAAACTGCACTGTGCAATGTGGAGTGGGCAGAGGATTAGATTTAACTAGGGCTAGGTTTTGTCCAAGAAAAATGTGAAAGGGAGCTGAGGGATTGGGAGAAAGCATGAACCTGATGACTGCCAAGGACTTTCTGCTGGCGAAGGAGGAGAGTGGGCATTCTGGGTAGCTGCAGACATGTGCGGGGAGAGGGGGATGGTGACCACCTTAAGCCCATGTGAACATTAACAACGAATAGTGAAAACCCATCATTAAATCTCCTCATTTCTGTCACAAACTGCATCTTAGTTTGCTGGAGGCAAACGACTTTGATTATGTTAATGTAAATTTATTTCTTTAGAGTATATGTTTTGCTTATTTCCTAAAGGAGCTTCAGTGATATATAAGATTCAATGTAATGTGAAAGTTTAAGGTAAACATTGGAGGAACAGACTAAGAGGAGCAGATGGAGAGCATGCTTTCACCAGTGTCAAAGCAATACTGACTCCATGGGCAGATTGACCCTGCTACGAGTGAGGAAAGAAATTTCAGAGGGACAGGCATTTCCTATTCATAAATGAGTATGCTTAACATTACTTCTGTCTTCCCCATAATTTGGCATATTGTTGTATCTATTCTTAGTTTATTCATCACTCTTTTGTTTCTCCCATGTTTTTCTAGGGAGACTGAAAGCTCCTTGCTGCCAGTAAATGCTTGTCATACATTTTACCCACAAAAACACGTAGCAAGAGCTTGGCAGAAAGCACAATCATGTCAGACTATGACCTCAACTCCATTCCTCCCTTAATTTACCCGTTTTCTGTGCTGGTGTTGTCCTACAATCACTTTCAAAACTCTTGAACCACTTGTGTTCAACTAGACTTCACCTCAGAGCATTTCCTTTTTTTTTTTTTTTTTTTGATCATGTTGCTGAGAACACCAGGAAAGGAAGAGCAGCTTCTACTTGTGGCTTTTAAATGCTGAACAAGACCTGTTTGCTAACCCTCCTTAGGACAGGCTTATGCCCCAAAGATCTGCTAGGACCATCAGGAAGTAGAGCCAGGTTGCTAATGTGAGGTGACTCAAAATTGAGAAAAGGCCTTCCCAACCATATGCCCTCATGCTGCCTCGGCAGTCCATTTAAGTAAATTATGATCTTCCGTTCTTTCTTTTGCTTCTCTCCAGGACCTTTCTTAACGCAGAAATGGCTCTCTACAATTCTATCAAGAATATGGGCTGTCCTTTAAAGATATTTACATTACTTGTCAAAATTTACATCTTAAACTAGTGATAAATGGAACACATTATTATGGAATTCTGGGAGCTAATAAATCATACATGTTAACAAATTACAAGAGCAGTAGAAAAGATGACTGTAACCCCCATCTGCATCCCACACGCTGTCAAAAGAAAATCACTTACAAAATAGTTGACCATAAGGAAAGTGTAAATAACAAGAGAAACAAATAAACAAAAATAAAATAATATTTGTATACGTTAATAAGTGAAATGTTCTTTCATCCAATGACATGCTTTATAATATGCATATAAAGATCACTTAATAAAACAAACTGCTGAGTAATTATTGTGCTCAATCTATTGGAAAAAAAATCTCAAAAAGTAAGATAAAGTTTAAAATACAGGAATTTAAGAAGCTATAAATTAGAACTCAAAGGACATTTCACACCAGCTTCTTTTATTTGTGGATTTTCAATAATCTTTGATTCTTATTATGTATGTGAAAAGGTGTAGAACTCTCATTAGCAGTAAAATAGGTTTATATAAATACGGTCAATAGTCAGTAATTTTAGTTTGGCTTATGGGCATAATGCAAAAATACACTCATTTCAAAAATATAAGTCCATTCTATTCACCCTCCATCCTACCCTGATTAAAACATTTTTTTTTAAGTGTTTTCACTTTTACATCAGTTGTTTTACCTCAAATTATTACCTCAGTATCATGGTTTTCCTAATATAATTAGTTAAAAAACACACCCATGAAAGAGCTTCTTATTAAGGGTATAGCTATCCATAGTTAGACTTAAGCTTCGGAGGAAGAAAAAAAATCTTGTTTTGAGAGTCATACTTCTTTAAGTTAATTCCTACCTGCAGATGTGGTCACAGTTTCTGTGGTGTTTCTGAGGCCCATGAAGTCAAACTGATAAAGGCGCCATGATTTCTGGTCAGCTGCCTCAACTGAATTTTTTCTCCATCTGTAAATCATTTCTTCTTTGGGGTAGCCATCTAAAAATACATAACAAATATTAACATTTGAAGATGTAGATTTATAAAACGTTAATGTGAAAATTATAATTCTGATCACCTAATAGAAGTTATAATTTTATACCATATTTTTTCTCAAAGACACAAAAACTTCCAAAATGAATGGGTAAATGCCACCTAATACAGAGGGTTCCTGCTGCCAGTCTTCATGGTCAATGAGATGTTCCTCAGCCACCAGCCTAGCTTTTGTCTGTATGTTGTTATGTTGTTAGCTGCCCTCAAGTTGACCTCCAAATCATGGCAACCCCATGTACACTGAGATAAGACAGTCGTGATCCATCAGGTTTTCACTGGCTGATTTTTGGAAGTGGATCACCAAGCCTTTCTTCCTGGTTCATCTTAGTCTGGAAGTTCCACTGAAACCTGTTCAGCATCATAACAACACTCAAGCCTCCGCTGACAAAAGGATAGTGGCTGCTTATGAACTGCATTGACCAGGAATCAAACCCAGTCTCCCACAGGGCAGGTGAGATTCTACCACTGAAGGGGCAATGTTGTCTTAATGTCTTTGACCTTGGAGAGTCATGCTGTGTTTGATCTTCAAAGAGTGAAGTTGCCTGTCAAAGTCTTAGGGCTCTGGGCAGTGAGAAATTTTCATTCAGAGCTAACTACTTGGACCACACCCATCACCCCTTCTGCCTTTCCCAGATGTTAGCCCATCAGAAGAAATAGATTTAATAAAGCAATCATGCCAGAATTCAAGAAGTCAGTTGACTCTTAACTCCAGTACTGACCAATGAACTTTAAGACCAGTTCCCATCTTGTTAATTACTTCAGGAAACAAGGTCCTTGCATTTCTACTGTCTCAGGCCCTGTGTTGGCAACTTTTCCAGAGCCCAGAAACCAAGGTCATGTGCTCTGCCCTTTCCCACCAGTGCTGTCACCAGGGCTTCATGGGCTCTCTGAGCCTGAGCCAGATACTGGTCAAATGCTGACTTCTATGCCTGCATCTCTACTCAGATCCACCACTTGCCAGCAACTCTGAAGATGGCACTATCAACTTTGTGTTGGAGCTCTCTGAGCTATCTGTGGCATTGGCCTATCTCTAGAACCTACAGCTGAGTCTGCTCCACAGGGTATGCACCTCTCCCAAGAGCAGGTCTAGAACCTATGTTGTGTCCCAACATATGACAACACTGGTATTGTTGCCCTCACTGAGTCATGTAGACACTGATTACACATGGCTCTGGAAAGAAGACACACATGCACCACCTTGGTGAGTTACAATGAATTAAAAAAACACTACACAGATACTCACATGTTTATACAATTTTGTTTACAAAAGTGTTGAAAATTGCTAATTAAACATTTAGATCAGTTTTCAAAACTTTTAAAGACAATCTGCCTTCTTGATTTTTTTTCCCTTTCTGCCAGTCATTGCTAGCTTGGTTCCCTCATTCAAACACTAAGAGAGAGGAAGATGGCCACTTAGATAAATGCACCTTAATGTCTCCCTACCACAAAAACTCAAGAAACCAAGTGAAACAGATACAAAGAACAATCCTAGATCCCTGAACATCAAAGGGAAGTTTGAAGAATTTGACTGAGCACTGATTAGAAAGAAAGTTAGAACAAAATCAGCAGGAATGCAGAGATTCTCAGAGAATCCAAGGCTGGCTGACGGGCCCAGCACAGTGTGGCCATTTTGAAAAGATAGCAAACAACATCCCTGGCTGAGGATCCCAGGAAGACAACTTCATGGAAAACACAGCTGCAGGAAGAGATACTGAGTGAACAAACCTGGAAAGAAAAGAAGTAGGCAGGTTGTGTCCTGGGTCCAAACTAGCCTGAGAAGGAGACATGAAGGAGTCCCATAGCTTTGAAACAAGGAAAAAATAGGAAAGTGCCACTGGAGCAAAGTGGGGTGGACAGGATCACTGGAGCCTCTGGACAGGGGACTGATAAGACAAAAAGTGCAATTCTGTGGATGGTCAAGGGTGAGTGCAAGGAGGTGGATGAGAACTTCTGAACCCCTGGAAAATGCAGAGAAGGGAGGGACCTAGAAACTAGTGTTGGGACTTTCTATCAGCAGTGGTGCATGTCCCTTTGGGCAGGAGACATCCATTGAATAGTGAAACAGCAGTGTAATAATCAGAAGTTTCTCCTTTTCCCCTCCCATTTGAGCAATCCCATCCCCCGCCCTCATTGTCTCCTTGGTGAGGAGACCTTAGCTACTCTCTTAACACTTAACATGCCCACCACTCCCTCAACCTGGCCTGCACAGAGAGGAATCCCAAAGAAATGCCCACATCTCCCCCTGCCTGGCCCACATGGAAAGGAGCCCTGGAGACATGCTTCTAGCTCCCGCCCACCTGGCCTGTATGACAAAGAGCCCCAGAGACAAGCACATAGCCCGTTCTCTTGACCTGGAGGTGAGAAGACCCAGAAGACACACCAACTACTCCCCCTGCCTGACCCACTTGTTGAGGAACACCAGAAATATGTCCATAGCTCCCCCCTGCCTGGTCCACATGGCAAGGATTCCCAGAGAACTGCCCACTGCTCCTCTCACCTGGCCTGAGCCCACCTTGTGCTCCACCTGGTCTGTGTGGCAAAACACTCAAGTGGCTCTCCACACTCACTGCTCACCACCCTGCCTGAGACCACCATGCATCGCACCCAGCCCATAAGGTGAGACACCCAGCAACCTGCCCACCACATACCTCTGAACATATGCTGAGACCTCCAGCCCTCTCTGGTCACTAGGACACCAATGCACAACTAAGCAGAGAGCCTGCCTCATACATTAGAATTATACTGCAACCCAGGTCTGCGAAGACAACCCATCCTGCTCTCCAGAAGCTGCACTAATAACAACTGCCAACATAGAAGGACCACATGGACCCACAAGTGCTATGGAGGGATTCTGACCACCTAACACCTGAAGCCCTACAATGGGAAAGGGTCCTGTTCACATATCTCCATGCAATTTTAAAAGGGAAGACATATATGTCTGACAAAGCATTCCCATGTGTATGTGACCCATCATACCCACCAGTGACAGAAAATTACCTCCAACCAAGAAGCAGCAACATAGTCATATACAGACCAATACTACAAAGCAGCATCAATGAAAACAATACAACAAAATGTAGGCAATATAATAGAAAGGGAAAAAACTAAGTTCCAGGTATAACAAAACAAAAGCAAAACAATACAAAAGGCCAAACAAACATATAATCAACAAAGAAACTTATAAACAAATAAAATAAAACTTTAGTATCTCATAGACAGTAGTCAATTATAAATCATATGAAGAAACAGAACAAAATGACTCAAACAAATAAGAAAAATAGAGGGATGGGAAATCTGAGGAAGAACTGATAATAGAACTACCCGACAATAAATTCAAAAGACTAATATTTACACTCCTCAAACAGATCAAGGTAAAAACCCAGAGGAATTCAGGAAAAAACACAAGAATAAAATGATAAACTCAACAGAGAAATAGAAACTATACAAAAAAACTAGAAATTCAGAAGCTTAGCAATAAAATATCAGAAATAAACAATAGAAGGCCACAGTAGAATTGAAAAAATGGAAGAAAGAATAAGCAAAATAGAGGACAAATCTCTTGATCCTAACTTGTATGAAGAACAAAATAAAAAAGAAGAAAGCATAAGGGTTATGTGGGACACCATCAAGAGGAATAATATACTCATTTTAGAAATCATAGAAGGGGAAGAGAGAAAAAAGAGTAGAGAGAAACTTTATAAAGATATGGTGGCAGAAACTTAACAAATATCATGAAAGAAGAGAAGATTTCCATCCAAAAAAGCTCAATTAACCCCATACAGGATAGACTCCAAAAGAAATTCCCCAAGACATACCATAATCAAACTTTCCAGAGCCAAAAACGAAGGATTTTGAGAGCACCATGTGAAAAGTGACACATCAGTTACAAAGGGGTCTGAGTAAGACTAAGCACTGACTTCTCCTCAGAAACCATACAGGAAAGAAGGCAATGGGATTATATATACAAAGCCCTGAAAGAAAAGAACTGCCAATTAAGAATCATACATCCAGCAAGATTGTCTTTCAAAAAAGATGGTAAAATTAGGACATTTCCAGATAAACAGAAATTAAGGGAAGGAATTTGTAACCAACAAATCAGTCCTACAAGATATATTAAAAGGAGTCCTTTGGAAGAAAACCACCAACATTAGACAACAACCTGAGGTAAAGACACACGGCAGCATCACCCAGATACCAAGCCAGATAAAGACTTCACTAAAGAAAAATAAAGCTACCAAATCGATTACAGGGAACCAGAGATATTGAGTTGTAAATGATGACAACTTCAAAACAAAAAGAAGGATGAAGTGAGAAGTTATAGAACTTCCATAGGTAGAGGAAGTCAAGGTAATTTCAAGATACAACAGATAGTTTTAAAAATAGGACAACGAATGTAAACTTCAGCATAACCACAAAGAATACTAATAAATCTACTCACCAAAATAAAGAAGAAGAAAAAAAACCTCAGTAAACACAAAAACAACAATAACAAGTGAAAGGAAAAGAAAATCCACATACAAAAAAAAAACTCCACAGAAAGTAAACAGAGAAACCATAACACCATACTCATAAAAAAGTATAACAAAATAAGTTGTAAATTCTTACCTATCAATAATCACACAGAATATAATGGATTAAAAGAACCAGTCAGGAGGCAGAGAGTGGCAGAATGGATAAATAAATACGAGCCATCAATATGTTGTCTACAAGAGACACACCTTAGACATAAATAGGCTAAAAATCAAAGGATGGAAAAATATACCAAACGGTAACCAAAACAGAGCAGGAGTGGAAATATTAATATCTGACAAAATAGACTTTAAGCCAAAATCTGTTATAAGAAAGACATTATATAATGATTAAAGTGTCAATTCACCAAGAAGACAGAAAAATTATAAATATTTATGCATCTAATGCCAGAGCTCTAAAATTTATAAAACAAACTC